GAGCACTGGGAGCATTTAATTGGGCACTAACAGAAAGAAGAAAGCATTCAAGATAGGCCACGCATCTATAGAGCACCTATACTGGCATTACCTTCGATGTAGTTAGAAATGTTAAATATCCATGAAGAAGCACAAAGAAGCATGGAGCATTTTCATCACAGGAAAAAAAATCTCTATGCTTTCTTTTCTGAGGCTCTCTCATGGGTGAAGGCTGTGTCCTCTTATTTATATTTATGATTTCTGTGGTGTGATTTATGATGCCCTAGAACTTTTGCCTGCATTTGGCTCTTTTTGACTCATACTGACATTTTCAGAAATCTCTCAGAAATGCTAGATCTTAAATGAATACAATTACCAAAATATAATAAATCACAAGCAACTTGAAAGTATGGTTATTTAACAGTAATATCCTAGAAGCTTATGAGGTGGGACTTCGCCATGTGAAACAGATCTCAGTTTTAAATAAAATATTTGTCTCTTGGCCTGTTTTAAAGTAAAAGTTGGAAATTTTCTCATATAAAATTAGGATAAAATGAGATTTCCCTTCTGGAAACCCTAGAGCAGACTTCACATTTGAAATCAGAATTTTGGAATTAGCATTTTTTTCTTTTTTTTGGAAGTTACCAAGACCAGCAAACACTGAATCTTTTCTACCAAACTGAAGAGAATATCACAGTCATGGATATTCAAAACTAGGTTTTACTAAATTTTATGAAGTTAGACTCACCAAGAATCAACCATTTAGTATTCAGCATACCCTAGTGTTGTTGCCATTATTCATAAAATTATAATTCACGAGTTCTAATACATTGATAATTTTCTTATAATCATATCCTCCATCTTACTGCTTTAATTATAGTAAAAATCATTAATGCTATTTATAATAATTTTTTATGTTGCATTTTTGTTAAGCGTTCAGTGTATTATCACATCCAATGTGTTACTTACTCTGTGAGGTTTGGGTGTCTATGAACTTCTTTATCAAGGCATCAGTAGTTTGGGTATACAGACTGAGAGCATATCTCAGAGACTGTAGATCTGGGCTTTTCTCCAAGAAATTCTTTTTGAGGCCATTTCCTCCAGCATGAAAGTATTGCTAAAAAGAAAAGAAATAATGTAAACCGAGGCATTTGGAAAGAGGCAGTGAAGGAGGGGTTTTATTGCTGTAATAGTAAAGCTCAAGTGGAGTAATACAATATGATCCATGGAAGGTAGGAACAAAGAAACAGTACTACCATGTGCCCACTGCTAAGTCATCACCAGCTCATTCAGTTCCCTGGATAGCTTTCAAATGATGCTCTACAGCCCACATCCTTGAGACTGAAGACTTTTTCTCTCATTTAAAACTTTAGTGAAGCATATGAGATCATGAAAATGTAGTGGTCAGAATGCTTTCAAATGACACATTTAGGTAATAATCGTCAACTTGGTTATTGACTTCTATTTCCAGAGCATAAGAAAAATACTCAGGGTTGCCAGAATTTCACAAGGAAGGTAGCTCTTGGTCACATATTTCCTCACACGAGTTTTTGATTTTATGCCAGGTACCTGCTAGTCCATCTTCCCATCGTCTAATCTCACAATGGTGCAGATACAGGTGAACCTAAACATGCAAAGTGGTCCTTAGAAAGTCAACATCCCCTGAACATTGTGTTTGATAAATGTATTAAAACATAGAGGGTTTTTTTTGTTTGTTTGTTTTGTTTTGTTTTTTCGGCTATTGTCTTCCGACAAACTTAAAACACTACAATATTTATAGGTAACATAATAGAGAAGATATATTCTAACATATGTCCTTTCATAATAAATATGGGCATTAAAGGATGTTAGTGGTTTGCAGACTGCAACTATTATGCATAACATCTCTTTATAAAGAATATTTAGAGATATGTGACAGAACTAAAAATGTTTTTTCCTCAACCATTTATAGATGATAATATATACTATTTATAAATTATCTTAATGTTATAAAGATGGTTTGCTCTCTCTCTCTCTCTCTCTCTGTCTCTGTCTCTCTCTCTCTCTCTCTCAATGCTAAACTACGCAGTCATTGCAACATGGCTCACTATGATCTATGGTCTCACAAAATGACATATTTTGAGAAAGTTCAACAAGTAATTCTGATACATGCTCTTAAGTGGATATGTCTCATCCCTCTAACCCCTTCCTTAAACAATTCTGAGCTAAAACAATTCAATAAATCGAAAAATCATAATTACCTAAATTTTCTCCCCTATTCAAGACAAGACTTAGAAAAGTTATTTCACACATCTCTAGGCATCTAAGCACACTCTTAAATTGTGTAACATAGAGAAGATTCAGACTGTAGGCCAGAGAAAGTATGCAATGGGGATATAATCTGAAGAAAGATTGCTCCAATTATTGACACCATTCCCAAGGAGAAAAAAATTCCATTTCCTGATTCTAGCTGGGTGCACTGTGAGAACACAAGTTGTGGCAAAAGCTATACACGGTTATGAAGAGGAGGCATAGAAAAATGGGAAAAGCCTTTTCTTACTTTTCAAGAGATGACAAAGATACATTTAAAATTATTCTATACTTTGATCTTCTTATAAAAATGTTAAAATATTTTCACAAGTAGAAAGTATTTATTGAGGATTATGAGTCCATAATTGTTTCAGGTGCTTTGGTGGATGAAAAAAACAAAAAGATAGCTCCTTTATGCAGGAAACATGACATTTAAGGTGGGAAAATATTAAATGGATGTATTGAAAGGGGGAAGATTTAGTTTGGTTTTGACAGCTCTCCTAGAGGAGTGATGGGGTGCTGTTTGGAGGTCAGTTTATATAATGAACAAAGGAGCTATCACATGAAAGAACTCACCCTAGGATTAAAGAGCTGTGGGATAAACTGAACGAAGAATAAGCAGGATCTCTGCAACGAAACACATTCTCCCTCCTGATGTTTCTCAGACAAGCTCCACCCAGTATTATCAAACCTGAGCATAAGTGCTAGAAGATTATAATAAAAGGAAGTATAGGAAGAATATTAAGAAGTAATTAAAATGGTATTTTGCCATCTCTTGGGGCTAATGAGAGTTGTTGAAAGACTGAAATGATTATTGGGTGTTCTCATAAGTATACCCATCTGGGCTATTTTCACTTTTCATTGTCTTTAAGCTATTTAAAACTCTGTAAATTGTAGAAAATGGGTAATAATGTAAACGATGCTTGTCCATAGAAATGCAAATTAATTATTTCTGGTAGGATGGAACTGATTATTGTCCTGTGGATAGATCTGTTTTGCCTCTATTTGTAAATTTATTTCAGCTTTCCTTATTGCGTATCCTTATGTGTGGTTCTTGGAATTCTCCTTTGAACAAGTTTCTGTTCAAAGTTTACTGTTTCCCCCATTAATTGACGAACTAAGTAACATTTTTAACATGTGTTACAACTGCATGAATGTTACAATTATACTGTCTTTTAAAAACTGTTATTTAACAGTGTATATAAAATAGCATGGGTGACAACATTTATAAGGGTGACCATAATTTTTAGTGTTTAATTTGTGAGGACAGGGCCATGGGGGCCCTTGGTTCACCCTGGCAGCATCATTGTCAGGATTGGTTTTCCTGCCTGTTCTTTCTCCCTTAACAAATATTTATTACACCTGTATCGTGAGCCAGGCCGTGTGCTGGATGCCAAGGATATGAAGCCAGAGTTTGCTCTCAAAGGGATTATAATTTAGTAGCAAATATAACCAAATTGCCAATAATGACTTCAATAATATGTTGTACATGTAAGAAAAAATGATTTGAAATACACATAATGGGGGGAGGCAAACAATTCTTCTGGGGAAAGAATCAGTAGAGATTTCCAAAGAGGTGACATCTCTGGTATCCATCAGTTTACCAGCACTGCCATTTTAAATGTCAGCAGCCACTAGGTAAGTCACTACAGTGGACTGAGAAAGAAGACAATCCCCCTGGGGAACCAAGAGAAACCCTAGGAGTCTACATAAGAAGAACTGAGGTACTTGTAGTTCTCACAGTATATTTCTTTGGTATAGTTTCAACTATACTGTTTTGCTGCTGTCTTTCTATTCTCATCACTAAACTTGTACTGCTTGGACGCTTCAAGTGGCCTCTCTCAGTAGAGATCCTAGAAAAGTTAAGAGATGGACGACGTTGTAGTCTTAAAGATTCACAGTGCTTATTATGATCACATTAAAGGCTCTGAGATCCTCTCTGATAAAGAACTCTGTTTAACCTTTCATTAACATTCCATAGTCCCTCCTTATCCATGGGGGATATGCTCCAAGTCCCCCAGGGGGTGCCTGAAACCACGGATAGTACCAAGCCCTATACAGACTACGTTTTCTCCTATACATACATATCTATGATAAAGTCTAATTTATAAATTAGGCACAGTAAGGTTTAACAACAACAACTAATCATAAAATAGAACAATTATAACAGTATGCTGTAATAAAAGTTATGTGAATGTGGCATTATTAAGTAAAATAAGGGTTACTTGAACACAAGCACTGTGATAACAGGACAGTTGATCTGAAGACCAAGATCTAAGATACTAAGTGATTAAAAGTGTGGAGACGCTGAACAAAGGGATGACTCACGTCCTGCAGGACAGCTGAGCTATCATCATGCTGTTCAGAATGCTACCCAATTTAAAACTTATTTATTGTTTATTTCTGAAATTTTCCATTTAATATTTTTGGACTGTGGTGGACCGCAGGTAACCAAAACCACAGAAAGAAAAACCATGGATAAGGGGGGACCACTGTACCTAGTTTTTAAAATTATTTATCTAAAGGACACTTACCACAAAGGACATCTATTAACACTCTTGGGGGCACAAGTATTCCATAGAATATGATTTAGGGAACCCAAGGATAGAAGAATGTGACTGGACTTCATATAATTGAGATATTTTTGAGGGTCTAGAAGGCTTCATGGAAGAAAGGAACTAGAGTGAGGCTATGAAGGCATAAACTATGTATTTGTTCTTGAGCCCCTTACAATAATTTTATAGGAAGACATGTTTTTACTATGAAGGCATTATGTCATAGGTCTCTGGGACATGGAGGCTAATCATGAAGTGAAAACATGAACACGGTATGAGTTTGCTACTGAGGAAACTGAGATGCCTAAGCATCTCCCTAGAGTTCTAGGTTATGACACTGAACTGACTTCTGCTAAAGGCTCTAGCAGGATAGTAAGTGCACAGAAGATTTGTAGAGGAGAAAATGATGCCTTTGTCTTTTGGGTGCATTGTATGATAGGAGATGTTGCAAGACAAACCCAGACAGCAGGTAGCAATTAGGACAGAAAAGAAGTTGCAATATTGCCAAGAATGAAAGTCTTCACTTACTGAATGCAGATAAATAACACCTCATAGGCTCCTCCCTCAAAGAGCAAAGGAAATGACTTCTATGGTTATGTAAATGCAACCTTGATGAAATGCTACTTTGTGGAAGTCTTTCACACTATGCTCAGAACTTGGGGGACAGCTCCTAAGAATATAGGGAAGGAGCATGAGGGTTATTTTTACAGAAGAAGGAACTAGGAGGTTGGATTCCAAGCCCGCTGCCTATGTGCTCCAAGACACAGACTCAGGCAGATGTTCATCAATCTCACAGAGCAAACTTTCCGAAGATGAGAGATTCCATTATGACCACCCCTGTAGTTAAGACCACGGCTGATAAAATAGAGGCTGTGCTTTACAAGAGTGAAAAACACACCTGTCCTTATTCTTTGTGCATCTTAAGGAAGTTAAAGATCAACTTACCATTGCTATTCTGTCCTCCTTTCCCCCATGCCAATGAATTTTCCACGGAAACAAAAAATAGATATAAACCCTAGCCCTGGGGATGAAGGCGGTCTCTCTTCCATCAGCGATTAGAGAACACCACTGTCTATGGGGGTGGCCTTTGTTTTCTTACTTACTCTCAGCTAAATAAACTTACTTTTACTTTAAACTCTATATTGGCTCACATTTGAACTCTTTCCTATGTGAAGCCAAGAACCCTCTTTTCATGTCACGCTAACAAGGATCTGCTTATCTCACCAGCACAGATAATCTGGTGAAAGGAGGAGGTAGTCACTGCGTGTGCCTTGTAGTTCAGAGACTTCATGTTCAGTTTTGACTCTTTGCAAGATGCCCTGAAGGAGCAGGAGAGGAGAATCTGTATTTTGCTGAGGCTTGGGTTTGAAGGGTATAAATGTGGGGCTGATGTGTGGGAGTGAATGCCTTAGCCATTAAAACCCACTATCCACAGCTCAGTGCAGCTGAGTTATCTCCATTAGTTATCATGAAGTATTTTGTAGGGGAATTATAGCCTAGAGGGGAATTGTGAATGTGGGCTTTTAGAGCCTCCTGGATGTTTCCCTTATGCATGTGGAAAGTGGATTATTCTCCATTTGTTCTAAACAAAAAATCATGACTCAGTTTCTTATTGTTCCTCTGCAACCTGCAGCATAATCCCAAAACCTCCAATTTGAACCATTCAGATGTTTTACTTAGACTGGTGCAGATGAGCAGAGAATAACTGGCAAAATAACACTTCGGGAGAGGTCATTTTCTCCTCATTCAAGAAAGAAACTTTCAAACAGTTACAGGACCATGGAGAAGTTGGCTGTTTAGTGCTATGAGGGATCAGGCTGTCAGCTGGGTGACATGCTCTGCCCTCGGCTCTGTCCTGGCTGATCTTTTCACCATGGAGTTGGACAGTAAAGGCAGAAAGCAGGGTTTTCAAATGTGCAGTTGAGCCAAAGCTTGAAGTTATTACATTGGATGACAGAATCAGGCTTCAGAAAAGTCTTGGCCGTCTGAATGGTGGGTTACCATTTATAGGATCAGATGACAAAGAGAACATATAAAGGCCTATATTCATGATAAAAATGTTTATTGCAAAGTTCAGACTGGGGGTGACTTGGCTTATTAACATCAGTAAAATTTTAAAAACCACCAAGTTTTATTTGCTCTCAAGTTCAATGTGATTTAATAAGTGATGGGGCAGCCATCAAAGCTAATGAAATCCTATCATGCGTTAATCTAGGAAGACAGGTCAAGACAAAGGGTGTGACAGAGCAACTACATTCTCTGCTGGTTAGAACAAATCCAGAATATTAGGGTTATTCCTAATTCATTCCTAAGCTTCATCGTTTGTAAGAAATATGAAAAAGTAGAGGACATCCAAAGGTAGATGAGTAGAATTTTGCAAGATCTCAAAGACATTTTATTTAATAAACAGCTGCAGAAAATTTGGGGCATCAAGATAGTGTTATTCAATGTCTGCATGGCTATCATATAGGAAAAAAAATAGAATTATTTTATAGTAGTTTCAAAGGGCAGAAGTGGGACCAATGCATAGCCAACAACACTGCAGATGGCATCTCTCAGTATGAGCCAGACAGTGAAGATATTAGATTATGTTTCCAATTCTGATATTTTAGAATTCTCTTCACCTCCTTGACTCTCTGCTCTTTAAAGTGTGCTAGAAAATGTAATTCTTCATCTTTCTTCTGTATGATGTGATTTTGCTTAGATTATTTAGCACAGAAGATCAGTTCATTCATTTGTAGAATGGGGACAGACATAGCCACTGTGCCTGATGGTGGTATGGTAAAGATGAAGTTAATTACTCTATCTGGAACAGCTTTGTGAACTTTTCAAGTAAAGTTATTTCTACTTGTTAGAAAATATACTTAATTGGTAGAATAACTCCCCAAACTCTAGCCCTGCTTTGTTTCCTGAGCACCAGCCCGTCTCCAACAGTTTACTGAATATTTATTTCTGTGTTTCTGTCACCATATCTAACTCCATATAGGGAAATGATCCTACTGCCCGACTTGCCATTTTTCTCAGGGGAGCCCTGCTTCCCAGACACCTGGCTGAAACCTCTCAATCACCTTGGGCTCCTCTCTTACTCTTGCTCCCATTTCAGTTGCCAAGTTCCAGTGACTTCTTTTCTTGTGTCACTCATTTCCACCTTTCACTTTCTACTCCTAAGGCCACCACCCCGGTGATGGCCCTCATCATCTATGCATTAAATAACTGTAACTGATCTCTGTGACTGCAATCTTGAATTATTCAATCCATTTTGCTCATTCTTTTAAAACTTCAGTTGCTAAAATGACCGTTTTAGCATGCCATCTATTTTCAAAATGGCTCCTCTTTTATAGAATCCACTGAGGGTGCAAAATGTTTCAATCCAAAGGTTTCCTGTTTCCTCATTTTATACTGTTTTACTTTGAAAATGTCCAGTGAAATCCAGGTCAGTCAATAGAACAGTCTAGTCACTGATTCCTAGCCCTCTGGTCTTATGCCATTCCATGGTGAAATCCTTTCCCCCTAAGTATGTCCAAGTCATGAGTCTTCTTCCAAGAAAAACTTGTCTGTCCTCTCTAGCCATGAGCTCCCTTCCATCCCATCAAAGCCACTCCTCCAGGTTTTCCTGATCTTGAGTTCAAGGTGGGTGCTCACTCCTCTAAATCCCTACCACTTTTTATCTGTGCCCCATCATTACCCTCTGCATCGCCTGTTTCATCACTTACACGGTTGTCTTATAAGTTAACACATATCATTATCTCATTTTTAATGTGTCTTTTCCATCTTTCAATCTAGACTAGAAGCTCCTTGAGAGAAGGAACAACACTACTTCCCAGAGGGGAGTCTCAGGAAATACTGACATCTCTTAGGGGGGGTTGTGCCTGTTATAGTGAGGAGATGCACAGGAAACCAAAAGGCCAGAGGCAAAGCCTTAAGCACCTGACCTATTGCTTGGGGCAAAGGATCAGATTTAATAGTGTCACTGAGAGAGACTGAAGGGTTTATTGAGAAAGGAGAGGCGAAAGCCTGGCTGCAGCAGAGTATGTGGGATCCTGGGTTTAATAATAGAAAGAGGCTCCTGCAAAGTAAACCAGTTCTCAGGCAACATGGGAGTTTCATTTATGAAGAGCTTTCTATATGACAGGAGCTGTTTTAATTATTTTATAGGTAATAACATTTACTTTTTTTACAATAATCCCTTAAAACCTATTTTTATTCCCATAGGAGAGGACGGTAATGTGCACACTTGCCTTTCTCTCTCTTAAGCACCCACCATCCTGATACTCTAATTGCCAGTGGTATTATACCCC